GAAATGGGGGTAAAATGAGGAGAAAAGGGGAGAAATGGGAGTAAAAGGGGGAGAAAAGGGGGTTTGGGGTCATTAAAAGGCGGTTTGGGGTCAGGAAAGGGGGAGAAATGGGGGTAAAAGGGGGTTTGGGGGAGAGAAATGGGGGTAAAAGGGGGAGAAATGGGGTAAAAGGAGAGAAGTGGGGATAAAAGGGGATAAAAGTGGGAGAAAAGGGGATAAAACTGGGAGAAAAGGGGAAAAATGAGGAGAAAAGGGGGTAAAAGGGGATAAAACTGGGAGAAAAGGGGGTAAAAGGGGATAAAACTGCAATAAAAGGAGATAAAACTGAGAGAAAAGGGGACAAAAGTGCAAGAAAAGGGGGTAAAAGGGGATAAAAGTGGGAGAAAATGCGAGAAAAGGGCATAAAAGTGGGAAAAAAGGGGATAAAAGGGGATAAAAGTGGGAGAAAAGGGGAGAAAAGGGGAGAAAAGTGGGAGAAAAGGGGGTAAAACTGGGAGAAATAGGGGTAAAATGGGGAGAAATGGGGGTAAAAGGGGGAGAAAAGGGGGTTTGGGGTCATTAAAAGGGGGTTTGGGGTCATTTAAAGGGGGTTTGGGAGAGAGAAATGAGGGTAAAAGGGGGTTTGGGGTCATTAAAAGGGGATTTGGGGGTTGTTCAAAGGGGGTAAAAGGGGGAGAAATGGGGGTAAAAGGGGAAGAAATGGGGGTAAAAGGCGGGGTTTGGGATCATTAAAAGCAAGTTCAGGGTTATTAAAAGGGGGTTTGGGGTCATTTAAAGGGAGTTTGGGGGGGAGAAATGAGAATAAAAGGAGATTTGGGGTCATTTAAAGGGGGTTTTGGGGGAAAAAACAGAATAAAAAGGGGGTTTGGGGCCCCCCTGAAGAGATTTTTGGGGTTCTCCTCATGGAATTTCGGAGCCCCTTGAAGGGAATTTTTGAGCTTCCCCACAAACTTTGGGCCTAGAAGCCCTTTTGATGTTGCTCCTTTTTGTTTTTTTACCTTAAAAGCCAAGGTGGTGGTTCCGTGCAGCATCAGCAGCCCGGGCCCGGCCGGAGCCGCCTGGAAACCCCAGGGAGGAGCCGCCAACACCCGGGGAGGCCCCGGAGGGTCCCGGAGGCTCCTCAGGATCCCCTCGCGATCCTCGGGATCGTCCTCGAAGCCTTTTGGAAGCGCCGGGAAGAGTTTTTGGGCCCCTCCCGGGAGCTCCGGGCAGCGGAGGACGCTGGCCAGCGCCATCTTGGGTCAGGGCGCCGTGAGGGCGGAGCGCGCAAGATGGCGGCGGGTGAGGGCGGCGCGGGCGCCATCTTGGGTGAGGGCGGGAAAAGGCCGGGCAAAATGGCGGGAATGGGTAAAGCGCATGCGCGGAGCACTGAAGGCGCCATTTTGTATGAGGGCAAGGGCGGGAATGAGAAAGCGCATGCGCATTGCAGGGAAGGACGCCATTTTGCAAGGGCGGGATGTAAACAGCGCATGCGCGTTGAGGGGATAAGGCGCCATTTTGAGTGAGGGCAAGGGGCGGGAATGAGAAGCGGCGCATGCGCAGTGAGGGGGATGGGCGCCATTTTGCGCGCGGGCAAAAGCGGCTGCGCACGCGCAGTGAAGGGGAAGAGACGCCATTTTGGGTAAGGGCAAAAGGCGGGGATGGGAGAGGCGCATGCGCGGCGCCCATGAGGGGGCGGGCGGGCGCCATCTTGGTTGAGGGCATGACTCGTTTAAAGAGAGAAAAATAAAAAAAAAATCGGGCGTTTTTTAGCGAATTTAAAGGCGGGGATCGATAAAAAAAAGGGATTTGGGGGGTTTAAAAAGGGAAGCGAAGGAAAAGTGGGGTTTTTTGCGTTTTGGGAGAAAGGGAAAGGTGGTTTTATGGGGGGGGAGGGTTCGTGAGGGGATTTGGGGTAAAAAATGACGTTTTTAGGGAGCCCGTGAGGGAATTTGGGGTCAAAGTCCCGGTTTTTGGGCGCGTCGAGGTGGAATTTGGGTTAAAAACCAGGTTTTTGAGGGGATTTGGGGTGAAAGTGGCGATTTTGACGCCTCCCGGTCCCCCCTAAAGCCCAAACCAGTCCCTCCCAGTATAAACCAGTGCCCCCCAAATCCCCTCCCAGTCCCTCCCAGTACAACCCAGTGCCCCCAAATCCCCTCCCAGTCCCTCCCAGTGCCCCCAAATCACCTCCCAGTCCCTCCCAGTATAAACCAGTCCCCTCCCAGTCCTTCCCAGTGCCCCCTAAAGTCCCCCCCAGTCCCTCCCAATCCCGTCCCAGTCCCTCCCAGTGTCCCCTAAAGTCCCTCCTGTCCCTCCCAGTTCCTCCCAGTATAAACCAATCCCCTCCCAGTCCCCTCCCAGTGCCCCAAATCCCCTCCCAGTCCCTCCCAATCCCCTCCCAGTCCCTCCCAGT